TTGGTCTCCAGGCTTGTAACCTCAAAACCTTAATCCCCTCATCCTGCAGGTCTAGTCAGCTACCAAGTCCTTTCAATTTTACTTCTCCAATCTCTAGTTAGCAGTTTCCTGCTTTTAATATGAACTCCGTGTTCAGGCCTGAACTCATCTCACTTAGAGTATTATAATTGCTTCCTAACGTGTCCTCCTGCTTCTAGTCTATCCTTTTTCTAACTTTCATACAGTTGTTTAGATCATCTTTCTAATACACTACCTCTTCATCTTAGAATTCTAGAACCTCCAAAATCTGGCTTTAGCCTTCTTTTCCAGCATTATCTCACACCGCTCCTTTTTCTACAATCTACATTCCCCCAGTCAAAGTGGACTTCTCTCTACATTCTCTTCCAGTCCTGCCTCCTGTTTGGAATAAATTTCTCCCCATCTTCATCTGTCGAAAGCCCCTCCTTTTTTTCTGGGCCAAACTCAAATGTCACCTCCTCCATGAAACTTTCCCTGACCCTCCCAGAAGAAAACCATAGCAACCTCTTCAAATTTCTCTTAGCGCTTTACCTAAGTCTCCCTTGTACACTTGCCTCACTCACCCTTGAATCATAGTTATTTTTGTACTTGTCTTTCTCCACCCCATTTGATTTTAAACTCCTTTAGAGAAATGTGTGTGTCATATATGTCATTTTATTCCCATACACCCAGCACAATGTCTTTCTTTCACAGTAGGCACTTAAATATTTGTTGAATGTCCTAATGAATTGACAGAGTGTACCCAAGTTTCTGAGGAAAAAAACCCAAACATTATTTGGTCAAAAAGGAAGTAAAGCAAATAGCTTGCTTCAATATTTGAAAAGATCTATGTTCTATAATCACATATTTGGAGGTAGAAGAGACCTAGCACAGTGCTTGGCACATAGTAAGTGCTTAATAAATACTTATTGACTGACTGACTCAGATGTTAATGATTCTAAACCCTCCATGTTAAAAATTAGCAACTGGGGCTCAGAGAGGTTACATGACTTGTCCAAAGTGATATAGGTAGTAAGCAGCATAGTTAAAATTCTTACCAAGGCTTTTTACCAAGGAAACCAAGGTAACAAAATAAATAGCTTACTTCAGTACTTCTCCAGATCATTAAGTTCACTAGAAAAGGAAATAAGTTGTCCTGAGTCTCTCTCTTAGTCATTGCCAGTAAGATTCTTGCCAGAGTCCTCTTTAATAGTCTGACCTTTTACCTGGGAGGTGCTCATCTACCCGAGCGCTAGTGTGGCTTCAGAAAGGGCAGAGGAATGGTCAATATCGTGTTTGCTGCCCAACAACTCCAGGAGAAATGCCAGGAGCAGAAGAGAGGTCTGTACACAACATTTATCAATCTTACCAAGATCTTTGACATTTTCAGTAGGGAGATCTTGTGGAAGATCATGGCAGAATTTGGTCACCCAGAGTTCACCAGTACTGTATGACAATATTATGACGGCATGCTTGCAGTGGTTCTGGATAATGGATGATGCTCTTGAGCATTCGCAGTCACCAATGGAGTGAAATAAGGCTGTATGCTTGCTACCATGCTTTTTTGCATAATGTTTTCAGCAATGTTGTCATATGCCTTCAAAAGGATGAAAACATCATCAGGGTCAGCTACTGATGGTAAATTATTTAACTTGAAAAGGCTACAAGCCAAAACTAAAGAGGAGGGAGAGTTGGTATGTGACTATTTACAGATGATTCTGCATGCAATGCAGGCTCTGAGGCTGAGATGCAATAGTGTGGATCAATTCTCTGCCATTTGTGCTCCTTTTGGTCTGACAATTAACACCAAGAAAAGAGAGGTTCTCCGTCATCTAAGACTGTACGATCCATATGTGGAACTATCAATTACAGCAAGGGGAGAAATTTTGAATTCACTTACTCAAGTGTACTTTCCAGGGATATCCAGATAGATGATGAGGTTGACATATGCATTGCCAGAGCTAGCCCAGTGTTTGGGAGGCTCCGAAGGAAAGTGTGGAAGAGAAGATTAGGCTGCCTACCAAACTGAAGGTCTAAGAGCTGTTGTGCTGAGCTCATTATTGTATGACTGTGAAACCTGGACAGTCTACCAGCAGCATGCCAGGAAACAGAATCGTTTCCATTTGAATTGTCTTAGGAAGATTCTGAAGGCTACCTGGCAAGATAAGGTACCAGATACTGAGCTCCTTTCTTGAACTGAACTGTCAAACATTCAAATTCTACTGAAGAGAGTGTATTTCTGGTGGGCTGGTCATGTTGTTCCAATGTCAAAGGAATGTTTGTCTAAAAGACAATTTTATGGAGAACTCACACAAGGTAAGCACTCACACAGAGGTTAGAAGAAGCAACATAAGGATACTTTCAAGGTCTCTCTGAAGACCTTTGGAATCAATTGTGAGACATGGCAGACATTGGCACAGGATCACCCAGCATGGCATACCAGCATCAAAGAAAGCTCTGTGCTTTATGAGCAAAGCAGAATTTCAGTAGTTCGAAGAAATGCAAAATGCTCAAATTTAGACACATCTCCACTCCAAACATTCACATGGACTATTTGCATCCAACCTGTAGTAGAGCCTTCTGAGCTTGTAGTCTGAACAACCACAGTCAGACACACTATACCTTGAACCTGACATAGTGATATCATTATCATCCTCTTCGAGTGCAAAGGACAACAGCTAACCATTTGAGGTCATTGGTCTGAGCCTACCAGTGACAGAACATAACCCCTTTACAATGGCCAAAAATTTTCATCATCTGCTAAACTTTTGCAAACTCTCTGGTCCTCAGATGACAGACAGTTTGCTTCTACTTGGTAAAATCTAACAGAGCTTGGAGTTTTACAAGTATAGCCTTCAAGAACCCTTGATCATCTCTATACCATAATGAGATATTAGAGTACAACTTTGGAGAGGAATAAATAGCCTATAAAAACAAAAAAAAATAGAAAGGAAACAAAATTATATTCTGGATGATTATCAATATTTTCGTTTTTCAATTTTCTAACTAAATCTACATCCAAAGACTGACTATGGTCTCCTTGAGCTAATAAAAAAAATATGCTTTCTATCTGTGTTTAATAGTGTAAAATACTTTTTTTTTAAAATGAGCTTAGTCAAGACTGAAGATTCCTTGACCACCAAAAGTAGTGACGAATTCTTTTTGATATGATATGCCAACACCAATTTAGACTTTTCCTCAGGCTCTTTTTACTTTCTTATTCCCAGGGGGAAAGTTGACATTCTGTGAATACAAAAGATGTTTCAAATATTCAGTGACACCCTTCCATCATGTTACTGATTATAGTTAGTAAGCTGGAGGTAATGTGTTTAAAGATTATAAACAATAGGAAGAATCCGGTAGGCTTATAATGCAAATGAAACAGGAAAAATTATAGTGGGATATTTTGGATTTGTGCAAGAATGTGCCAATCACCAAACCTTAATGTGTATTTGCATAAATTAGAGCCCCTCCCCCCAAATGCTGGTGCAGTGAAATTAGAAATTCAACAGATGGTCTCCAAATAAAATATGTCTGTAAAATATGAGAACAATTGTTCCTTGGCTCTTCTGAAAGTAAAAGGGTGGGTGATCAAGTGCAGTTTGAATGATTCTTTCAGAGTCATCCAACTCATCTTGTTAGACCACCAGGGGGAGTGAGTTTCAGACTCAAGACAGCTTCTGCTGAAAATCAAGGTCCTTGGTTAGTTAACAAACATTAAGCTCTTAGAGATGGGCAGAGTATTTAGAAGAACATGTGGCAAGAGAATTAGAAGGCATAGTTCCTACCCTGAAAAAGCTTATAGGTAATCTGTTAACTATACACACTGCAATAACCTATAAATAATTATAGCAAAGCTTCGTAATTCATTGTAGTTGCTGCCCTGGAAGTCTCAGAAAACTGCAAAATGATCAATAGAACCAGCTAACCCATGGTCTTACAGAGAGAAAAATAGTATATGCTTCAGTGACAACTTGTCCATGAAAGGTCCAGAAAGGTGACACCTGATCAGGCTCTCACTGCCTCTTATTCTTTTCTTTTCTCCTCTTGTAATACTTGGATATAATAATTTATATTATGCAAATTTATTATACATTTATTATATATTATTATTAATTATATTTAATGGTATTTACATGTTTGTTTCTTGATGTTATTTTATGACATTTACTATGTTTATTATATTCTTATAATCAATTGTATTCCTGTTCTGCCTTGTTGTTTTGTTACTTTATCATTCAGAACTTAAATTAATCCATAATATGAGTTTGTGCCCCAAATGTCCCCTATCTGCCATGGCACCTTTATGTGCTCTATATGTGCCAGGTGGTGTAACACACAAATACACAATCCTGGGTCTTTCTGGAGATCTAGAAGAGGAAATGATCTGGAGGTTAAAACCATACAAAGCCTCTGAAGGAAAGAGTTACAGGCCTGCAGAGGAGTACCACTGCCTGACCTTTGCTCCCAGAATAGTGATAGCTGCTGTATTGAAATACTGTCTAGAAAGGCTTTTATTGGATCTTAGGTCTTGTTTAAAAAAACAAAAAGTGGATCATCTCTTCTTTTAGGGACTACCAGTATGCCTGGCATGGAGTAGACGTTTAATAAACAGTTCCTGAATTGCAATATGTGGAGATCATAGAGATGCTGTCTTGCCCCGTGATTTTATTGACACAGAGAACTACTAAGTGGGCAAACTCTATTAATGCACGTTGGTACTTTCTCTGCTCTCCTAGTCTTTAGGATCTTGCCTGGAGCACTGAGAAGTCTTCCTGGCTTCAGGGTTGGCTCTCTATCCATCGGGAGATGCTGCCCCTCTTTAGCATCTTTTCTCCCAGTGGCCAGTACAATGAGTGGAATATCCTAGGCACTTAAATAGTCCCTGACTTGTTCAATTGTAATACATGGAAGTTATGCAACAAAAATTTAAAAGTTAGTAGTGAATAAACTTTAACTTACAGCTTTTTTTCCTCTCTTTTTTACATGCTTTGCCTGGGAAGGAAGACTACCCTCAAAGCCCTGAACGAGACTTCTATCAGCTCTTATTGTGTTGAATCATGAACAAGTTAAACCCCATGTACCCCCAAGTCACAGCCCCAACCAAGTCCAGAAGAAACTGGTGCTATTTACTCTAAGTAAATGCTTGAAACTCTTCGACAAGGCTGAGAGAAAGAAGATTGAGATGTTTCCTTTTGGATGCTAACAAAAGAGAAAACTATTATCACCCTTTTCTCCCCATTCAGTAAACTCTTACCTCTAGGATCAAATAGAAAACCCTCTCTTTGGTGATTAGAGCCTTTCATTACCTGTCCCCTTCTTACTTTTCTAGTCTTCATATACTTACTCCCCTCTACATACTCCATGATCCAGTAATGCCGGCCTCCTTGCTCATCCTACAAGACACTGCATCTCCCAAGTCGGTGTATCTTCACTGGCCGTCCTGCAGGCCTGGAACGTTCTCCCTCCTCGTCTCTAACTCTTGGCTTATTTCCTGAAAGAAGCCAATCCTCTTTACTACTATCATATTACATCTGAGATTATCCAAGTTATCTTGTGAGTATGAGTGTACATGTGTATATGTGCTTATACAATATGCCTATATGCACGTACATAGTGTGTATATGGTTTGTACATAGTTGTTTATGTGTTGTTTTCCCCACTAGATTGTTAGCTCCTTGAAGTCATGGTCTGTTTTCTCCTTTCTTTGTAATCCCAGCATTTCATGCTGTGCCTGGCATATAGTAAGTGCTTTTCATACTGTTCCTGCATATAGTAAGTGCTTTAATAAATGCTTGATGATTTGATTTGACTCTCAGAGCTGTAACTATCCTGTGCATAGGGGTCTTGTCCTAGGGTGCTAACGTGGTAGGGCACCAGATTCTCCTCTCTTTGATAGTTGAACTAGATTTCATGGGGCTTGGAGGCATGGAAGACCAGCTAAATAAAAGTAGGAAGGATATAGATCTTCTCAAATATCATATCCCAAAGCCATTCTTTCCCCATCATTATGCTAATATGACTGCTTCTGATTAGGGATAGACTGCTCACAACTTCCTGGTCTGGGGAGTCACACTAGGTATCCGGGATATGCAGCGATGGCAATGTGTGCTGGTCTTATGATGTCCCAGGATCTGTCTCCATAAATCCCGCAGTAATACAAGCTTAACTATACCTGACAGAATGGGCTGCTTAGGTGTCGCCCAGCCTCATGATCTAAGCCATTTGGGATATACAGGACCAGTAGCAATGGAGGTATCCCAGAGTCTCCTCTGCCACTCCCCAAATGCCCCAGGTGCCAGGATTCCCAGTTATGGTAAATGATTATTTATAGTTCTGAGAGCAAAATTGGAAAAAACTTTAAAACTGGGTCTTTCCTCCCCTTGAAGACTCTGTGTAACTTCATATTACAAGTCATTTTGTTTTTTGGCTCTCTAGAGCACCTCAGTATTTTGGATGTTTATGTATTAGGTAATTCAGCATATAGCACCTTAAGGTGAAATGGCAGGTAGTGGACAGTCTGGGCACATTCTTATTTGGATTATAATGAACCACCATCAACAAAGTCTAGGGCAAGGAAAAATGAGTAGCGTATACTGTGTTCCACCAAATGCTGTAAAATAAAAGGAATAGTTTAGTTCTGAGCAATCAGAATGGTGTAAAGCTAACATTAATTGGCTTACTCTATTACGCCAGTAGCAGAAAGACAAAGTTTTTTGGATCTTGACTACATGATCTGGTCTCTGAGGGTAGCCAGGATCTCATCAATATCAAATAAAACCTTATTTTTAAAAATTACAATCCCCATCTGACTACCTTCAGTTTTGTTCATCTGTTTCTCTTAAACATAATTAAATCCAGATTCCATCCAGCCAAATTGAAGAGGAGGGCTGAGAAATAATATAGATAATTCATCCCGAGTATTCTAGCCTGGAACACTTCCAAAATTCCAGAGATAATTGTTTAACATCCGACTTTCCATTTGATTTTACAGTTCATATATTTCCTGTTTAAAAAATTGATCTATAAGAAAAGAAGTAACAGAGTATGTTGTCCTTGAGCCTTAGTTCCTAAGATAATAAAATTTAATCACACATTAATTCCAAACAATACTTCCTTTCCTTTGGATTGAAAGTCTGGTTTAGAGAGAAACCAATATATTGACTGCCCTTGTACTCATGGGAATTTACTTAATTTAACATTTGGAACAGTTGAAGAGGATACCACAATTTGGATACTACTTGTACTATCTACCTCAAAGGGTACAGAGCTTAGTTGAATATAAAGTGATATATACATGTGAGCTACTACTTCTATTATTATTTTCATTCTATACAAATATCTAATTCAGCAGTGATTCTATTCAAATTGCAACAGCTCTTTGTGGGCCTGATCTCAGTACTGATCAGTACAGAAGCTTTGGCCTGCTCTGTTTCCAACCTGGATTATTTACCCCTTCTTAGCCTGGTGGCTACCTGTTACTGGAGGTTTAACACATTCATAATGGAATTAGCAAGATCACCAGATTGGCTGTAACCCCACTGCCGCTCAGAACTCCCAAACTCAAGTGATCCACCAACCTTCGCCTCTACTAGAAGAAAGAACTATAGATGTGTACTACCACACTTTAGCTACATGAAAAAATTAAAAAACATATGAAAGATAGACGCAAGGTCAGGTAATAGAGAATGAACACAAAAGAGTTGCACTATTCCTTAAGAATAGTGCTTGGGACATTAAAGCTCGGATTGAGTTGAGGTTGGCAGAAGACTAAGAACTAAAAAAGGGCTTTTGAAAAGCTATGTTGGGGGCAAGAAGAAGGACAAAAAAGGGATAGTATCATTAATTGGAGTAGATGGAAAGATAGTATGTAATGATGAAGAGAAGGCAGACCTACTCACTGTCTATTTTACTGTTTGCTTCACTAAAGAGTCTTAAAAGTGGGAGGAATAGAGCACAAATCCAACAGGAAGTTGGAACTCAAGATAACTGAGGAGATAAGATCAAAATACCTAGTTATCCTCAGGGAGTACAAATCACCTGGCCCAGATAAATTATATCCTAGAGTCTTGAAAGAAATTATACCCAAGAAAACCTGAAAGAATTGAAAGATGGAATTGCTGGGTTACTGACTGTGAAAATATTTGAAAAATTGTGGAGAACGGGAAAGATGCCATAGGCCTGGAGAAGGGCAACTGTTTTCCCAATTAAAAAAAAAGGCAAAAGGGTAGAATCTTTAAACTCTAGGCCAATGAACTTGACTGAAATTTCTGACCAAAGTATAGAATACGTAATTACAGGAGTAATTTGTGAGCAATTAGAGATGATTAGTGGTAACTAAAAGCCAGAATGGTTTTGTCAAGAGCATATCATACAAGACTAACTTTATTTCATTTTTTGACAATTAGATTTTTAGATTAGTGGAATATTATATTCTATATACAATTATATAACACTATAATAATGTTATTGTGTACAGACACAGTATACATGAATTTCCACAAGGGCATGGCCAAAATAAAGGGAATGTGTAGCATAGATAGAGGAGCTCAGAACCAGCTGCACGATCAAAGCAAAAAAGCAGCCATTAATTAGTCAATGTAGATTTGGGGGGAGCTTTCTAACCTGGCCATTGCCCTATACTATTTAAGATTTTTATCAATGACTTGGACAAAATTTGTGGAATAATCTGTATTGATTTTGAAAATTGCAGAGTTCTCTTAATGACCCCAAAATGTCTTCTTTAAAGAAAGATCTATATTTTTATTTTATTTTTAGAATTCTGTTTTTATTTCTTTTTTATTCTTTAATTCTAAAGTATATATATATGTATGTGTGTGTGTGTGTATATATATATATATGTATATATATACATATATATATATATATATATAATGTTTTCACATACATTGGAGAACAGGATAGCATTGTCTATTAAGCTGTAAATCACTATTACGTAGAGCTTACTTTTATTTTTGTTATATAAAATTTTCATGTAATTTATAGCTTATTTGTGCTTCCTTTTGTGCTTTCTTCTATTCTTTTCTCATTTGCAGGGTGAGGAGGGGGATCTTAGGGATTCTCTCCCTCTTCCATTGAAAAACAAAGGAAAGCAAAACCCTGGTAACAAATATGTATAATCGAGCAAAACAAAATCCCACAAAAAAAGTACACCTCATTCTGCCTATTGAATCAATCACGTGGTATTGTCAGTGTTCTTAAGTCTTTCAATGTTGTTTTTCTATACGCTGTTGTTATTGTATAAATTGATCTCCTGGTACTACTCACTTCGCTCTGTATGAGTTCATATAAATTTCCCAAGTCTCTTTGAAATCATTCCTTTCATCATTTCTTACAAGCAAAAATATTTCATAACATTCATATACCCTAATTTGTTCAGACACCCCTCAATTAATGGGTACTCCCTTAGTTTCTAGTTCTTTGCCACTACAAAAAGAGGTGCTATAAATATTTTTGTCCATGTAGGTACTTTCCCTCCTAGTCTGAACTCTTTTAAGCATAAATTAAGTAGTAGTATCACTGAGTCAAAGATTATGCACAATTCAGTGACTTTAGGGGCTTAGTTCCAAATTCCTTTTTAGAATGATTGAACCAATTGACAGGTCCATCAACAGTGTATTAATGTGCCTCTTTTCCCACATCCCTTCCAATATTTATCATTTTCCTTTTTTTTTTTCTGGTCATCTTTGACAGTCTGATAGTATGGTGTAGAATTTCAGAGTTGCTTTAATTTGCATATATCTAATGATCATGCTTTGGATTATTTTTTCATGTGGTTGTTGATAGCTTGGATTTCTTCCTTTGAAAACTGCCTATTCATCTCCTCTCCCCTTTGACTATTTATCTATTGAGAAACAGCTCTTTTTCTTATAAATATGAATTGTTGACATACCTTAGAAATGACACCTTTATCAGCAAAACTGTCTGTGTTTTTTTCTTAAGCCAAAACTTTTTCCTTTATAATTTTTACTTCACTGGTTTACTTTGTATAAAAACTGTTTAATTTTACATAACAAATGTGTACATTTTCTCATTATCCCTTGCTTGGCTCTGAACTTTATCTCATCTATAGATCTAGAAAGTACTTTTCCCCCTTGCTCTCTTAATTTGTTTATGGTATGACCATTTATATATCTAAGTCATGTGTCTATTTGAAGTTTATCTTATGGTGTGAGGCATTGGTTTATACTTAATTTCTGCCAGATGGCTTTCCAATTTTCCCAGCAGGGTGTCCTTACCCAGATAGCTAGATGGCACCATAGTGCACAGAGCACTGGGTCTGGAGTTGGGAAAAATTGAGTTCAAATTCAGCCTCAGATACCTAGTAGCAGTGTGACCCTGGGCAAGTTGCTTAACCCTCTGTTTGCCTCAGTTTCCTCATCTATAAAATTGGAATAATAATAGCACCTACCTCTCAGGGTTGTTGTGAAGATCAATTAAGATAATAATTGTGATGTGCTTAGCACATCATAAACACTATATAAATGTTAGGTATTATTTTCGTTATTATTATTCTCATTGTTATTATAGAGTGT